TACAATTTTATTTTTACTGCTTGCCAAAATTAATCATAAAATATTTTTTGTATGGCTGAGGCTCCGCTAACACAATTTACTCTCAATTACAGAAAGTCAACTTAAACCAGAATAACTCCGTAACTGCTTACAAGATTTTCAAGTTGAGATGTTATCGAAAATATATTTTTTCCCCTTTTTGTAACACTGAAATTATAACATATTCACATCCCACGAATTTTAAGCTAATAAGACAGGTCTGCGAAATTTAACATTATTTTCCCTTTTCCAATAAATAAATTGTTATTTTTTTTTAAATATCTAATTAAATTAAATTTTAATAAATCCTTTTTTCGCAGATCGAAATTTATTTTTATCGTCGACATGCCTATCGAGCCCTAACCGCAAAAAAAAAAATAAGAATACGAATTTTTTTTTTTAGAATTATATTTTTGATGCAGAAATGCATCTTGATGCTTTAAGAAAATTTCTGCAACAGAAAGAAACTTTTGAAAAAAATGTCGCTTACATCTTTTTGGTGGTTAGGGATCGATATTTTAGAATCTTTAACAACCTTAAACCCAAAATAAAATTTTTTACTTAAAAAACAAAAGTGATAAGTTAAAAATACCGCTAAAGTGACCAAGTAAGCCAGAAAGCCTTATGGAAATTCGAAGCTAATGCTACAGGAAAAGCGCTAAACCTAAGAAAAATTATAAAAGTAAGTTTTAAATAATTTTACCAAAACTACTTACTTTCTAGGAAAATTTATGCGATGAACTTTCTTATATTTTTTTCGTAGCTTAGTACTTAATTCTGCCCTAATTGCTTATTATTATTTTTCTTTTTAAGTTTAGTATCCAGCACTAAAGAAAAGCAAAAGCCTCCTATAAAAAACGCCCAAGAAATGGCGAAGAGATTTTCAAATTTCCTTAAAGCGCCGTTTGCAGCTCTAAAAAAAAAAGCGAAAGATTCATATAAAATGACGCACAAGAAATGGAAAATAAATTTTCATCTACATATCACAATTTCTTAAATCAGTTTGCAGCTCTCAATAAAAAAATGCTAGAATATTTATTTCTTCAAGAAAATTTACTGCAAAAGCAAAGCACTTTTTCAACCAACAGAAACAATGAAAAATATTTCTTGTGATTTTTCTTGCGAACTGCAAATAGCCCTTAAGGCATTATGCAGTTCATAAGAAATTCGCTAAGCTTTCTACTAAGAAGTTTTTTGTGGAAAGCAGAAGGCAACCCATGTTTGCAACAGATATATGTCCGTTCGATTATTTCGTGGGGAAAGAGTGCGACAACTCTTTTTTGTGGAATTTCAGCTCGTTCAATTCTAGTATAAAAGTTTTCGAATGACCAAAAATTACAGTTGATTTTTCAGAATTTCGTTTGTCGCATTTGCTTTCATAATTTATTTATTTTCATATAGAAGAAACCTCCAAAGCTTCGGCAAAAAAATCTAATGGCGTTTTTGTTTCTACAAAAAATGTTGCCATTGCCCGTTTATTAATGTTTGTGCTTGGAGGGCAATGAAAAGGTAACATTTTTCGGTAGAAACGAAAACGCCATAAAATTAAAATTTTTAGACACTTGAAACTTGCACTTTATTATAACAGATTTGAGTGGCCTACAAAACGGCATAGTCAAAATCTTTCTAGGAAATCAAGCTAAAAAGCATATACATATAAATAACTCAAATTAAATAACCAAATAAAAATAATTGTTGCGTCTAAATTTTTTTCGACCTTTTTTCGATCTTTTTATTATTTATTTGTTAAGTTCATAAAAGTTTGATTTGGTTTGTGAGTACATAGATGAATTACATTTAAAAATAAAATAAACAGAAAGACCAGCAATATATCAAAATACATTAAAATTTTGTGTGCGTGTTTTTTTATAAATGAGATATCTATGGGTGGGGAATTTTACGAAATTTTGGGCGAAATCGGGGAATTTCATTGTCGAAATCGGGGAATTCTCAAAAATGAGTTGGCTACATTGACACACAAACGAAGAATTGCATGTTTTTCTTGGCTGGATACTAAGCTTAAGGGGAAAACCATCGCCTGTTTAATGAGAGACGTGATGAAATGCATAATTCAGATTTTTAAATTTCCATAAAAAAAAGAACGAAAATTAAATACATAATTGAAAATAAAATTTTTACTTATAAAAATATACCCCTAAAGACTAAGTAAATAAAAAAAACGTATGGTAATACGAGGCTGGCGCTAATAATACGCTGTAAAATTTATCAAAATCAGTAAAGAATTTTCTCGGAAAATTTACGTAATGGAATTTTTTCCTAAATTTTAATTCTTTTGTTTAGCTTAGTACGTAATACCTATTCAAATTGCTAATTAGTTTTTCAAGGGAGAAACCATCACAGGCCTGTGTAATTTGTCTAATAAATTAAGCATTGCCGAAAAAGTTAAAATGGGGAAAACACTATATTTCGGCGCATTTCTTATCCGCTTTCGGCCGCCTTTAAAATTTAAAATTGCGTCCCTAGAAGCTATATGTATAGGTATGTACATGTGTAAGTTTTGTTTCAGTGCTCTTGCTACCTCAATAGCGCATTTAGTGCGTCCTTTACGGAGCTTTCAATTTGGAAGCGTAAATTTTGAAAGTCATTTTCGGCAATTATTCCTCCGTGTCGGAGTTGGCCGAACTTGTTGCCGAATTCAGCAGCATATAAAATACAATGTAACAACGACTAACAAGACCAGCTAATGTACAAATGTACATACGGAACATACAAATTGACACAGGGAGAAAAAGGTACAGTAATGCTTTAATTGTCTCGTTCTAACTGCGTTTGCAGGCAATGTTTGGCTTTAATTAGATTTCCAACAAAAAAAAACATTACGGCTATATCAATTCGCTTGGGACAATGAATTTGTGTTGCAGTGATTATTCAACAACTATATTGCGGTTTGCTTACTCGTTTGGAGAGTGCATAGATTGTAGCGGTTAAAAAAAATGGATGGTTAGATTAAAGGGGGAATTTATAGCAAGTTTGGTGTGTCAAACTATTTTACAAATAAATGACGGAGTTGAAATACTGTTAAAAACTTAATATTTTCAGAGAAAATAATTTTTTCATACTTAAGTATATGTTTGCATGTACATATGTATGTATGTTCTAGAGTTGAATATTTTTTAAACAGATTTTAAATAAGTAAGTTATTTTATTCCGGGATCCCACAGACGTATACAAGTTCGAGGTGGCTGTGTGAAAACTATGTTAGCATTCACAAGTGGTGGGCAAACCCCAGAAAGGTTTTGCTCCACCGCTTCGCAATGTTTTCTACACAGGGTTAATGTTCTCCCCCCCGCCCTCCCCCCTCTTCTTGGTGGAAATTAGTAGTATTTTTCATTACTTTACGGTAGATAAGGTTATTACAGAAATGTATTAATTGGGAAATAAATTACTTAATAATTGGGAAATAATTACCAATAACTTAACTTTTTATTACATTTTTATTTCTTTAAATTTAAATAGTAGGTACATACGGATCTATAGAGATCATAGAAAACCATGTATGTATGTATATTTCTTTATTTATTTATTAATTTCAGTCTACAGAACTAGTTTCTTACAGACTAGTGAATACTCTAGTTGAATATTGTAAACAAATTACTCTTAAATCTATCAATACTTAAGGTAAAATCGATAACACTAGAATATGTATTTCAAAATTCAATGCATCACCAATGCAGAGCACCTACCAATAGCCTTTTGTTTCTTAAATTACGCGGGGGGTTATATAATACGAGCAAATTTGTTAAATAAGCGTAATTTATGTGCCCATTGATTATTTTATAAATAAATATAATGGAGAAGTAACCTCTTCTTTAATTCAAAGACTGGAGACCCAGCAATTTCCGTCTGCCAATATAGGGAAGAACATAACCTTCCCAGGGCAACTTGCAAATAGCGAATTTTTGAACTCTTTCTACTTTGATCGAGTGCACTTCATAATATGGACTCCATATTATAAAACAGTATTCCAGACGGCTTCTTACTAAATATATATGTATAAAGGGATTCTAAAGTTACTGGATCTCTGAACTCTTGAGTATTGCGCCTAATAAAGCCTATCATTGAGAACGATTTAGACAAAATATAGTCAACGTGTTTTGTAAACGCGAGCTTGGAGTCAAAAATAAGGCCCAAATCTTTTATTTCAGTGCTCCGTTTTATAACGCAACCATCTAATTTATAGTCAAAAGGTATATCACTACTAGACTGCCTCGAGAACGTAACTACACAACATCTACCTATATTTAGGTACAAACAGTTTAATGTACACCACTGCTGAAATTCATCTAGATCGAGCTAAAGACGATTACAATCTGAGAGATCACGCACAACTGAAAAAAGCTTAACATCATCTGCAAACATCAGGCAGTTTGTCGTTTATAAATAGAATAAACAAGACTGGTCCACAATGCGTGACCTGTGGTATGCACGACCATGCATTAACTGTCACTTGAGATGTTGTTGGCCAATTTTCACAAGTAACTTTCTATCTTCTGTTGGCCCATCCATCAGCGCCAGGCACTCAAAGTTTTAATTCAAGTAGGAAGTAACAACTAGAAGATAATGATGAAGAAGAAATTTTCGTGGACGTTGGTATGTGAACTGTTTTATTTACTTTTTTTAAATTTGAGTTGAGAATGTTTTTGATTTAGGGTACGACTTTTTCACTGTTTCCAAAATTGTTTATGGAACCAGTCTAACGCAAATACATTCATATGTATATATACATATGTGTATTGTTATAATTAATAAATTGTGCACTTTCTTACATTAGCCAGACGGCAATTTGGGGTTTCCCTTGTACGTGCCACGTATCTCGTTGATCTTTATGCATTTCGACTACAAATGTATTTTACCACATAATAAACAGTACTGTTTATTCTGTGACTTTACTCAATTACATATGTAGACATGTATGTAAACACATACTAACAAATTTCTTTATTTTTTCTTTCCGATTACAGGAACATACTTTTATTAGCATCAACTATCAATAAAAAACGGCAATTAAGTGAGTAGTGACGCAAGTTGCACCAATCAAAGTGTGAACCAATTGTCGCTGCACGCGAATTCAATATGGCTGATGTTTTGGAAAATTTTCAAAAAAACAAACCTAGAGTGTAAAATAGAAATCAAATCTGCGTATAACTAGAAGAGAATAAATTGCGAAATATCAAGTGAAAATTGCAAAAATTTTAAATCTCTAACGTAAAATCGATAATTTAACTGAAAGTCTGACAAAACGTGCGCAAGATGTTGAGCATGTCGCATACGCCGTTTCAAACAATAGCCGCCAAAAAACGATTTCCTTTACGATTGCGTACATTCCGCAGCGGAAGCGGATATGGCCGAAGGAACCTGCTCAGTTGCACCCACTACACATTGCTGCTGGCCACTGCTATCTTAGTTTTAATCAGTCATGCCAAGAGCGCACTACTCTATGACAATAACAACAACGGTAACAATAGCATTAATATTAACAGCAATGCTGCATCAAAATATGCTACCGAGATGCCTCCGCTAGAGGCCACTCAAACAATGCCACAGCGCACAGAATTTGCGCCATTGTCCGAGAAAGTGGGGGAAACGGAAAAGTTGTTGCAACAGCAGGAAGATGTCGTAATTCCTGTGGACACTGTGGTCGTGGAGCAATCTATGGATGAGCGTCTGCACAATAGCAATTCATATAATCATAAACAACGACAGGAGCAGGAGCACCATCAACTCAATCAGCAGCGGGAACGAGTTGAGCAACAGTCGCAATCGCAACACCAGCATAGCCACACGTATCACCATCATAATAAGCATCATCATCAGCAACAGCAACAACATCAGCACCATCATCATCATCACCACCAACAACAGCAGCAGCAGCAACAAGCATTGTTCGAGTCACAAATTAACACGCAGCCTCAGACTCAGCCACAACCGCAAAAGCCATTTGAAACATTCGAGAAGGTACAGCACGAACCGGAAGTGGGGCAACGGAAGCTGCACGCCCACCACCATGGTCACAACATGTTGCCCGGACCACATCGGGGCGTCAGCGCCAAGCGCCACTACCACAGCAAATACACCATTGAGGAGCTGTTGAATATGAAAGTACAGCATCGACTCTCCGATGATATCGACATGGACCCATGCAAAGCAGGTGAGTGACAAGCGCCAAACGAGTAGCGTAAGGAATACACAAATACACTAAAACGCGCACTGACACTTATCATTAAGCAACCGCAGCGTGTGACATTTATAAATATCTTAAACATTTAAAGGTGCGGTAGCCGTAGGTATTTGCGCTTGTATACCAGCATAAATATGTATTTATTTTCATATTTAGCGCATTTTTATTGCGCCAACACAAGATCATTTGCATTTGCGCATACACATTTTTGTTTTTTGTTCATCTTCATCCATTCATTCTTTTTCAGTGCAGTGTTTTTATAGAACTCAAAGTTCAATGTAAGCAAGGCCATGCCAAGAACGAATGAGAATGTTGCTGGCCCAGAGATGTCGATAGATGTTTTGCGTGTGTGTTTGCCCATTGTTACTGCATAGGGGTAATTAAAAATTGTCAACGGCAAATGGTACACTTTGTCTGTCTCTTTGATCGACTGACATTGCCAGCGCGTAAATTAATATTTATTCAGAATGACTTTTATGCAAATTTTCAAGTGCACGCAATTATTAAACCGTAAGCGATGTGAGAAAATGTTGGGTTACGCTAGGTTAGGTTTGAAGGGGGCAATATGTCTCCTTCTTCTTGATTGGCGCTGTAACCGCCTTAGTGATTTTGACCGAGCCAAATAAAGGAGACTGTTTGTACCACATTCAAATGAGAACTAGAAGAATAAAGAAGAAATCGTTGACAGGCCAAAATGGATCAAAGTTCGGTTCCGAAGGTTGTTAACATTAGCTGCAATGCAGTCTTCAGTGTTTTCATTAAGCAAATATTGTGCTTTGAGCTTAAGCTTTGGGAGTCACTTATCGGGATCGCCAGTTACCTCTTCGTAACCCCAAGAACCCACTTTGACCACCAACTATCATGCGGACTTTGCAGATTCTTTGTAAATACTAACCGCATCTGAAAAAACGACCCTCTTGAAACAGCTGTTGATAGAACGTATCTCTCGCGCGTATTTCACTATCCAACTACAACCCATCTTATGCCTCGAGGGAATGTGTCTTTTACTTAACTTTTAAAAAGACACAAAACACCGCGATCTAAGGAACATTGATGGGAAACGCTGATATAAATGGGTTAGGTTAATCTCGCTCAGCTAATATCCCTCCCCCTTCCGCCCGACCCCGTCGAAACATCTCGTTTCTGGAGCTTACGATTAATCGAAAAACCGATCCAGGCGGGGATTAGTAGTGCCGTAACAACAACAACAACTTTTCTCCAGCATAGAAATTACAAATATCTATTGCAAATAATTTTTTAAATTTACATAATTCCTAAAATGGTTTGAAATCAAGATTTATCTAAAATATGAGCCGCTGTGGTGTAGTGATTAGCAGTGCGCGCTACCACGCCGCAGGGCCTGGATTCAAGCCCCGGTCAAAGCAACATTGCAAAAAAAAATATAGAAAGAAGGGTTTTTCTTAACAGCCGTAGCCCCTCGGCAGGCAATGGCAAACCTCCGAGTGAATTTCTGCCATGAAAAACAGCTTCTCATAAAAATACAACCGCCGTTCGGAGTCGGTGTAAAACGGTAGGTCCCTTCCCATTGTGTGACAACATCAAGGCGCACACCGCACATCGGAGGAGAAGCTCGGCCAAACACTAACAGCGCCAATCTATTATTCAGTATTGCGAGCATTCAACAGTAACTTCATAGGTTCTTGCTCCTACGTAAGAAAATGGTTAATTTTTTATTTTTTTATTTTTTCTTTGTTTGGAAGTGCCCCGCCCTTTTAATTTTTTATACAAACCTCGAAATCAAATTTTATAGATTTTCTGGGGTAAACCGAAGATCAATATGGATCAATTGAGGAAAAATCGAATGTCTCGAGTTTCTTGGATCGATTCACGGATCGGATGATCGAAATAGTAGTCTGTTGCTTTTCATCGGAAAAGTTAGTTCGAATTTGAGCTAATATATAAAAGAGTTTTAAACACCTTGCTAACCACAAATACAACTGAGACTCTGAAAATACATGATATCAAAGGACGCATTCAAGAGGGTTTGGTGTTTCTTGAAAATGATTCTTGCTTGGAGCAAGTAAGGGAAACTTATAAGATCAGTGACATGAGTCTTATTTAAAAACTGTAAAAGATGCTGATATACAATTTTCATCGTTGAATATTTTAAGTATTAAATTAATATTGTAATTTATTGTACACCATTTCCTGTTTTAATTAATCAATCAATCTAAAAAAAAATAAATTTTTCGTACTGAAAAATCGTATTTTTTTTGGAAAAAACGTATAGGCGAGCAGCTAAGATTTGAAGGTTTGATGATTTTGAATTTAGAAGTGATGCTTAAAGAAATGGTCCCAACGATTTTTTTTTTGCCGACGCACACTGGGCCTCTTCATACACGGCGATGCTCAAAACTAGTTTTTCAACTTTGGTGTACAGCAAAAACAAATTATACCAGCAGAGTCCTAAAAAAGCACCATACCTCGTGTAAAAGTATTGGGGTCTTAACTGGTACCAGTTGACGCGTACATCAGTTCAAAGTGGACAATTCAGTCAGAAATTTTTTTTCCCAATATTTAAAGGAGTTCATATGTGTTGCTAAAATATGTTTTATAATGTTTAAGGATAACATTGGTTTCGAAAAGATTTTTCGAGAGAAAGATTTGGCGGAAGGCTTACGGGCCTTTAAGCGTTAGCGATGGCGAGTACCGCAGACGATGGAATGATGAGCTGTATGAGCTTTACAATGACATTGATATAGTGCAGCCAAATAAAACACAGCGGCTCCGCAGTCTTGGCCATATCGTTCGAAGCCGACGCTCCAGCTCTGGAAGTATTCTACTCGGATCCCGCTAGCAGAGGAAAAGTCATGGCTTTTTCATCGTCGTTCAAACTATCGTCGCAATTATTCCTGTTGTGCAATGAACAGTATTGTCAAGTAAAGTAAATATAATACAAATTTATTTCACACGATTTTCAGTGGCAAAATAAAAAAAATAGTACATTTATTAAAGGAAAACTTATCTTTAAGGAGCAAACGAATTTTATTAGCTCTTTGCTCAGCTAAAATCCTTTGCTCCTTAGCTACTTGCTCATTTGCTCCGCTCCGCTCCGAAGCCCTGCTTTAAACACAATATTTATACCCGAGCACATTTGTGCGTAGGGTATTATAACTTTGCTCGCTTAACGATTGTTTGTAACAACATAAAGGAATCGAGATAGATATAGAGATATGTATATATACCAAAATGCTCAGAATTAATAGTGTAGTCGATTAAGCCATATCTGTGCCACAGTCCGTCTGTCGGTGTTAACGATAACTCGAGCAAAATTTAAATATTTTAACGAATTTTGATCCTTTGATCATCCTACCGTTGGTATTGAAAATGGGTGAAATCGTGCGGTAAATAAGCCCACCACCCATATAACGGTATTTTCGAAAAATGCAAAAACTACGATATTTCCGTTAATACTGGATCCAAGTTGGTCAAAGCTGGAATCTTAAAAGACTTAAAATTTTAAAATTTTTATTCAAACGTCATATTTTTAATAAATACAATTTTTGGGAAATGTGCGTGGCACCACCCCCTTACATCAAACCTGTGTGCTTCAAAACAATTTCACCAATCTCTACCATGTATGCATGTACATAAGTTCCTACTGAAATTTTTTGAAGACATTGGCATTCACTTAAGCTACTAAGCTGCAAAGTTCGCAAAGATGCTTTTGCTAAATGAAAACTAATAGACAAGTTGACATTAAATCTTTACACTGCCGTCGGTGGAAAATATTACATAGCTATTTTACACACACATTACACATTTATGCAGTTCGTCAAAGTATTCGAAAACAACCCCGTAGCGAATGTCATGCATTAGTCACTTAATTATCTTGTACGGACATGTCTTCAAGTCTCCAATGACTTTGGGCTCCGTTTATATGGAAGTCGTTCATGACTTTTTCATACAAATGTTATTTAGTCGTCGATGGCCTCTGCATGTCTTTGTCATGCTCGTGTGATCGTTGATGACATTCAAGCTACAAATTCCTGCAATGAACTTTTTATAAGTGACCGCTCCAAGACATTGCCTGTTATAAGTCTTTGATAGGAGTACACCTGCATGACATTGTCAGCAGTGTCGCTGTCAGCTATATGTTGTTTAGGATTCATAGCAAGTGCAACGATGGCACCCAGTGAGCATTTTCGTTATTCGGAAGCTGCCACAGCTGAGAACAACATTGAAGCCATACATTCACACAAATACTATATTGCCGCTGATAATGATGTCAGTTGCGGCTTCCATAGTTCACGCGCCTGCAAATATGCATTCATTTCAATTCCTTTTACTTTGACTTCCGTTTGCATCTTGAATGCCTTTTTGCCACTCATTTGCATGCACTGAATTGCTATTTAAATATTCGTTTGCAGTTGTGTGCATTTCCAACTGTTTGCGTGTGTGTTTGGGTTAATGCGTTTGAGTGCCAGACGATTTGTTTACATACAACGCTGCATTTGCATTTCACTTTCATGCAATACAATGAGGAAATCGTGGTGCTTTGTTGAGTGAGAATTATTTGAAACACTTGAAACGCAATCGCGCTGTAAATTTGCACACTTACATCCATACACATATGTGTGTATGAATGCGAATGACAGTACACGATGGCGCAGTTAAATAAAAGGATCTTCTTAAATGCGATATAAAGAATAAATGAAAGGCGCTTTTGATAGATACGTATGAACATTGATTTTAAGCTGCAGTAGGAAGAGAGGAATGTACGCATAAACGCATGCCTGATGATTTAATTGGAAGTCCCACCTTGAGAGAACGGTTGCTAAGGCCACACGGGACATGCGTGCCTGCTGCAGAATACTTTTTCGTAGGAAATGGGGATTGAGCTCAAAGCTGATAGAGTGGCTCTACCGTATGATCGTCCGTAGGATTGTGTCTTATGCATCCATAGCATGGTGGCAGAAGACACTGCAAAAAACTGCCATAACTTGCCT